ACAGGATATATATTAAATATAAATATATCCTTATATATGAGGATAAATAATATGTAATAAAAGTAAGAAATTAGTTAAAAGCCTTGCAATATTATAATGCCATTACCACCAAGAGCCTTTCAAAACAAAGTGCTCTCTCCATCTCTGATGCTAACTTCTACACAATAGTTTTCATACAGTCGTGTTTCTACAGTCACTGCTGGCATGTGACTCCAAACTGATGGTTGGTGTAACTGTATGGGGTCATCTAAATGGATTCTTAATCCCTTAAAGTATCAAAAATGACTTTTTTGGACATAGTAAGTGTCGACCAGCCTATGTGTGCTAGCGGTTTTGGTTCAACTTGACCCTCCCTGTACTCAGGAGTACAAATGGCGGGAGCTTGAGGAGCAGCGGCAAGCTCAGAAACTCCAGAGGCAGCTGCAGCAGGAGCAGGCCTACCTGCTGTCGCTTCAGCAAAACCAGAACTTGGACAGTAGCAAAACAGCCCAGCAACAGACCCCCAAACCCCCACAGAACCCTGAACCCGACAGGGTAAAGCCTCTGCAAGCCCCTGAGCAGGAAACAACAAAACCACCACAGAACACTGACAGTGAGAAGACACGGCCCAGTCCAGCCTCCAGTCTGGAAAAAACTACAGAAAGCAGGCTACCAGTGGCTGACCTTCAAGGCCCCGCCCCTGACTCTGAGCCAGTCAGAGAGGTGAACCTCGTTAGCTGATCAGTCACAGTGACTGCTTTTAAAATGCTTCCTTTGCTTGTGTATACTCACTCCCGCTGTCTTTAGTGTATCGTGTGTAGATGGTGACGGTGAGCTGATGGTGTGGGATGAATGGCTTTGTAGACGAGCTCTGTAGCTGTTTCTAAACTCACATGTCTAATAATTAAACAGGTCCATGACGCACTTATATGCCTGTGTTACAGGACCAGCAGCAGTTATTTTATCTATTTAGGTGAACTTAAATATGAAGTTCTAATAAATTGAACTCAACTTGAGACCAATCTTTAAAGCAAGTGATGTTATAGATCTTTTCAAGCTGACTTTGGAGAAGCATCAGCTCCTCCAGAGACAGCTGTAGCAGGAACAGGGCTAACTGAGAGAGAGGAACAGAAACAAAAGGGAGAATAATGTTTAACGTAGGTCCAATATGAAACATGAAACTGATAGAGTTTATACTATTACTAATTTCCAATACTTGTGAAATCCTCATAGGAAAAAAGTTGGGAAACTAAAGAAATTATTATACCAAATACCAACAAACTAATATCCAGATGCAGCATATTCATGTTCACTTCGAGGATTCCTGAAACATACAAAAATACAGCCTCTGAGTCTGAAAAGGGCTGCCAATGTTGAAGTGCCTTAAAGGTGCATTCTTTCTAATGGCCAGCAGAGGGCAACTTCTCTGGTTGCAAGATAAGTAAGATTGTACAGAAGACTGTGAGAAAATGAACCTACTTCTCCCTTTATGCATGAGCTCAGTAACCAGTTTTTTAGGGTCTCGATTGCCAAGTTCACATTTTATTGATGTTCCCTTTGCAAATTGTAGCCCCATTTCAAGTACAGTAGATGATAAATCAGGGTACAACTTAAAATCCCTGGTTTCTCAGTCAGATCCACCCCCTTGCTCCTATCATCTAGTTAAAAAACACAAGACATCGATATTGAAAGCGACAATCTGGGCTTCAAAGCAGAAGCCCAAACGTTGGTGTCATGGTGGCTATGTCAGCGTTCTGTTTACAGTGTATGAGCAGATGTCATTTGAGCTTTTTCTCGTGAGTTTGCAGTGAAATGCTCACTTGAACAGCTCCTCCCTCTAAAGAAGGACACAACTGGTCTCTAATTATCCTCATGGTAGTCCGTGTCCCCACATTAATAAAAACGAGCCAACTCATTAGTGCTCAGCGTGACTTACAGTCTCTTTCTTCTTTATGGCATTTGGTATCCCTTTTTAGTGCCTATTGGGAAGGATAATAACAGAGACACTAGCCAAATAAAAGCACATCATTGGCCAAAACAGCTCAGAAGCCCTAACACTGGTGGAACAAACAGGATAGTCATCTTTTGATAGTTCAGCCATCATTTTTGTCGTAATGATAACACTGTAATCACAAAGTTTCTGATAAAGTGGCAACATGAAGAAAAAAAATCACAAATGGAAAAGATATCCAAATATCATTTCAAACATTTCAAAATCTGACTTTCTATGGTGAACCGTGTCCTGGACCTCAGTGTGACCTAACCTTTCCTTTGTGAATGTCTTCTCTCCACATGAAAATGCATGACAGTCTTGCTGGTCATGGAATTGCTGTCCTTCTCGTAGGGATGTGGGAACACTGTGGTGCCAATAACATTGCTGCCTTTGAGGAGGTGCTTTGTTGTCCCTGCTGGTGTGCCTGTATCAGCAGATAACTTTCTCATGTGCTTGAACTACTGCCAGAACAAATCACCTCTTCTCTGTTGGAAGAAACTAACAAACCATAGCGGCTGATGGCTTCTGTCTTTTCTCCTCTTCGTGTACTGACTTGTATCCACCTGTATTCTCAACTTGCTGCTAATGCCGCTGTTTGCACGTGTCCTTCTTAGGCTGACGAGCGTTATCGGAAGAACATCCAGGGTTCTCCCCAGGCGGCTCAGACCAAACCACAGCAGCCTCCGGTGCCGCCGCGATCTGAGTCTTCATACCCCAATGGGAACTCTGCTTCTGAGGCCATGCACCGGCCTGTGGAACCACAGGTAAGAGTGACTTCAAACCATTTCTTCTACTCTTAAACTATTCTGCTTTTACATTTACAGCTGTGAGTTGGTGTCCACTGGATCACTGGACTAGGAACAGTCCACTGGTGATTTACATCTTAAAGGGTTTTGCTGTGTTTGAGCATATTGAGCAGGGGATGGGGTTATGAGATTATGAGAGAGAGATTCATGTATTTAACAGTTTCATATTGTTTACATGACACAAGATCTGATTGTAATATCAACTTCCCTTTTTCCACATGGAAGTAGTAATAGTGGAGCTTGGTCGGGCTGAGCATGCCTGAGGACTTTATGGCTGCTGACCTGTCATTCAGTTATGTGAACAAGCCAAATTAGGGCGAGAGTTATTCGTTCCTGGGCCACAGTGTACCGGACGTGATCTGCAGTGGGCATGATAAGCAAAGTCATAGCGTAATGACTTATTCAGTTTTCCCCTCCTTCCTGCAGTCGGTTCACTGTCACTAAAATGAAACATTACTGTCATAAATCAAAGAGCCAAAGCTTAACCACCTTATGTCACTGTGGTATTGTAACCTATAGTTAACATCTTTGTCTGTAAGAAGGCTGTAAAATTAATAACGAATTAATAAGTTGAAACGCACCCTTTGGAGAGCTAGTTCATGTGTTCGACACCCCTGGTTAAGAGTATGCTGTCAGCCTTATATCGCCGAATTGCCTTGCCAACTTTGAATGGATTTATGATGCTGAAATGTGTTATAGACCCTTGCATGCATGCTTTGAAAAGCTCATTTTTCACAAAATACCGGTTTATTCGAAAAGTCCATTTACCTTCTTAATAACCTGAACATTGCTTCAAGATGTTATCTGTGATTTTTTTTTTTTTTTTTTCCCCCCTGATAATAATTCATTAGGTTTCTCCTTCAGGTGACTTGAGGAAAACTGAAATCTTTGCACTTTGGAAGATTTATTGTTTCTCAGTTTAGGAGTTGTTCTGCTTTTTTTCTCTGCCTTCATGGATTGTATCTTTAGCTTTGAGGTCATTTCATCTGAATAATGTATCCAACTGTGAGCTGCCGCTGAACTTCTCATGACTCTTTTCAGCCTCGGGCATGTTATTACCTCAATTTCATTTCCCTCGTTTTAACCAGCTAAAATGTGGAACAGCATAAAACTCTTGACTGATTTGAAAAGAAATCTCCCTTTTTTCACCCAGCTTCCCTGTGGTAATGAAAATCAACCAAGTCCAACCTTCTGCCATAATTAACTCTTCGACTGACAAGTTGTCCTCCCAATATGTAAATGCAAACAAAAGCCCTTTCACCAGATGTGTGTTTACCACAAGGTGTGCAAATGTGTGTGTTTATGGGATTTGCCTGATGCTGTAATGGGTGGTTTGAACATCTCTGCTCTACATGCTGTAACTCCTTATTGTGTGTTGGTGATTAAAAACATTCATAATTCATGGGCATCTAAATTTTGCAGGGTGACTCAGGCAGTATTAGTCATTTTTCCAGTGAAGGATCGAGCACATTAAGCATGAATAATCACAGTTCATATAAGTCAATCTGTTTTGGATATGTCACACAGATTACATTGTATAGAAATGATGCTGTTATTCAGTAGGATGGGGGTTGTGTTGGCCGCGGGTGTGACGATGTAATTCACTAGAGCGTTGTTAACCCATAATGTTAAAAGTGGATTACTCTCATTAACAGAGAGCCTATAGAGTATTCACCACACAAAGGTCTCATATCATGATGCCTAAAGACCAACGTGAGGTATTTGTGTTAGCTGCCTTCCTAAAGAAATCTCACTGCTGCCAAATATGGAAACAAAAAACTAGTTAAGGTTAAGATGGTGATTATGAATAAGGTGAGGATGTGCAGTGCCCACTATCAAAGTCACATGTTTTCCTCCACTCCCAGCCATGAATGTGTGCATGCTGCGCGGACCGTTGTGGTTCTGTCGGCACGCTTGTTTGCATGTCAGCCTGTTTTTACTCCTTATTCATGCATCATCTCCAGATAATTTTTTGAAGGTGATCTAAAAGGACCGTGCAGGATATAAAGAAGGACTAAAATGTCCAAAGAAAGCTGACTAAAAGCCAAGCCAGTAAAAGCATGACTCAATATTTTTTTCCTGGATCAATTCAGCTTAATCTCTCCATTCCCTGTGAATTATGTCTTCTTTTATATTTTGTGTCCTTGCCTGATTTATCCAGGCTACCCTTTTTTTTTTTTTAAGTTAAAAGCTTTTACAGTGAAATTTCTGCTCTCCAAAAAAAAGGGTGGCCCAAGTGATAACAGGTATGACCTGCAGATATGTTTATTTCACGAGTGCTCCGTCTCCCCTCCTGTTGCACTCTTGGGTTCTTAAGGGGATTTGCAAAGATTTGCGTCTTTGCCTTTAAAATGTCTACAGCTCTTCTTTGATTTTACAGACAAGCTGTGTGAAATCAGCTTCTGTGGTGTTAAAACGAGCTAGTATTTCAGAGCAGTGGTTGTTAACATGTTGGCCTCTGCCAAGTTGTCAGATCAACTCGCCACATCAGATATCTGACACCGTGTGTTATTATAAATCATAAATGCTCTGTGCACAAATGACCAAGACTGAAAATCCTTCCATCTGAGCTGAAAGAACATTTCCATCTAGAATCCCGGATTGAACTTAATGCCACTGGAAAAAGCGAATACTGTAGCAGCAAAAGGTTAAATATATGTCATCTTCCATCTACTTTAAGAGCATTATAATAAATCTATCATTTAATTATATCCTCTCATTTACATCTTTACCAACTGAATGTGCAGAAGAGCTCTTCAGCTGAAGCCTGGCAGCAAATAGGAGCTAAATGACAGCTGCAGTGTATGGATGTGTCATTCTGTTAAGTCATCGCAGCTTTTCTTTGTTGTTTTTACTTTCTGCTCATTGCTGGATCCTTTCGTGCTGTAAGAGCACTCTCACTGTTCCACATCTAATTATGAATGACCCAAAATAACCTTACAATAACCAGTAGGACCTGCATCGCCCTGATTTCCACATTTGAGAAGTCTAATGTTAGTGTTACTAACATTAGCTCAAATGTGACAAACCCCTTAAGATACCCTACAGTCCCTGAGCTTGTTCCTTGCATGCAGACTGACCTGCGCTCCCCCATTGTGTTCTGTTTTGTGTCGTCCGCAAGGTTCGTTCTCATCTGGCTGCTTTAAAGAGCAGCATCAGCGTGGCCTCATCAAACTCCACTGCCACTCCGCCTGTTGTGTCGCGATCGCACTCCTTCACAGAGCCGCTTACCCCTAGCTTTGAAAATCTCCACCTTCAAAACAGCCACGAATCCCGCCATCACCTTCCATCATCATCATCACCCCTATCATCCTCATCATCAACGCCTGCTCGCACTGACCCACACCCCCATCCCCAGCCTAGGCCCCATGAACCAGCCCCTTCAGCGGAGGTCCCACCGAGGGTAAGGACTAGAAGAAAGAAGCCCAGTGTGGTAGCATTAGTTGAATAAGACAGTCTACTGTAATTATTTCCCACCATTTTTTTTTATACAATATCAGAATTTAAACAGCTGTTATTTATTTCCTTGTATGGAGACCAAGAAACACGATATCCACTGTATGTGAGGAAATCGGATATTGCGGGGCATTTTAGTCCAATTTTTGCACACAATATCTGACAAAAGAGGAAGTTACTGTGTGGTGAAATTTCTTGTTCATGCAAAAATAGCTGTTAGTTAAAATGCATCACAGCATTCAATCTGTGACCTTTCTATAACTCGACTGTTGTTCCACTTATAGGACGAGGCGTCTCATGCTGCTTTTTTCTTCCCTCACCACACTAATTTAGACTTTTGCTGCACCACCGCAAAAAAACATAAAAATAACAAGATGAGGAATGTAAGCATAAGAAGACAGTTGTAAGAGAATCCACCCTGTCAATGCAACACAATGGGAGAGCTTCAAGTAAACAATGGTGGACCTCACAAGCAGGTTCAGCCTTAAAATAGAGGAAAATGCTACTGAGAAAAGATTGACCAATCAGTAACATCAGCTCATACTGTTCCCATGTTGTCCCTAACTTAAACTCTTAAACAAATAAATGGCTGGAGGATCTGTTGTGCATGGCTGTGTTGCTCTGCTCTGCGTTGGCTTCACTGAATTTACATGTGACTGATTTAGGGGAAAATGTGCTTCGCATGCGTGATCTGTGACTATGATGAAGGCTTTAGTTGGCGTACGTACATTTATACATTTCAAGTTAGATACTGTAAGAACACAACAGGCAGTCACGTCAGAGATGCGCAGCAGAGATGCAGTACGCATAGATGCAGTACGCATAGATGCTGTGTTTCAGTCACGTCATCACCAACCTGAAATGTGAGCTTGTTGGTGCGTTGTTTAAACAAACCCAGCTGTTTAATTTAGTCTGATGTGAACACAGTTATTGTGCAGTCTACTCCCCCTTACATTAAAAATAATAAGATTACTTATCCTGACAGTACCAGAACAACATTTAAGCTCGTTACAAGATTTGTACCAACTGTCTAGCTTCCAAAGCTGCTACTTTTTATTTTAACACTTTTGTTTTATGCTTGCTAAACTCATGGATACTAAAACACTTCAGTTACTCACACCTTCCCCCTGATAATTCTGATATCTTTCTAATATGTGACAATTATTACTTGTTGGACATTTATTAAGCTTTATGTGTAATTTTACTGCCAACTCAGACTTTAAATTGACTGACTGGTGTCACGAGGGAACAGGGAGGACTCGGCGCAGACTGAAATCACAGAAAACTGAATTTTATTTACACACTCCCGGTGCACTATATACAAGTGAAGGAGAAGGGGGCCAAGGTTCCCAGGGGTACAGGGAAGAATCAGGAAAAGTGTCCTCTCTTGCTCCGCTCCACACGAACAGAACAATGCACTTGGAAAGGTCCTTTCCTCACACACGCCACTCTCACTGCGGCACTCACGAACAGGCTTCTGTGTCCAAACTTCCAAACCGAGCATGAAGAATCTGTATACAGAGATTAGGAATTAACACGGAAAACTTTCACGAAGAGAGCTCAAAACTGGCTTAGGCTAAAGTAGCACTGACGAGCGTTACTCTATAGTCCAGCGGCGAGGTGCTCTCCGTCACTGCCTTAAGTAGCGAGAGCAAACAAGGTGAGGAGCCACAGGTGGTGAAGGCCAGGGGCGGGAGCCCACAATGAGCTCCGCCCAGGCAGCAAGTAGAGAGAGAGAGAGGAGAGAGACAAAAGCAACACACATGTAGCCACACAGGGCCAGCCGGGCAGGCACGGGGACCATGACAACTGGAGCTTTCATCTCTGGGCCTGAATTAATTACACACAATCTGTACTTTTATATCACTGAGTGAAAGGTATCTCTACAAAAACAGTAAAGGTTATGAATCTCTTAATAAGATTTATTCAATGCTTGCAGAATCTAACAGCTAGTAATTGTGAAAATGTAATTGACAATAATCGGTGCAGTAATTAAGCGAACAATCTGACGCTGGGCGGCATCGAGGGATTCAAAACTACAAGTTTTATACCATTTTATTGTTTCTATTTGGGAATCCTGAGTTATCAGAAAAAAATAATGTGTTTACCTTAGTCATCCTGACATGTTGTGGTATAGCTACTAGTTCTGAAGTTTTCCAGTGGATTAAAATGGTGACACGCTCGTGTGACGGTGACGTTTAAAAATGTGTGATTTGCATATTCACGGCACATGGCAGCACATCCATGCCTAAAATGTGTGTATTTGTAAGCTGGTTACTGTTTTTATCATGAAAAGGTTCCTGTCAGGACTACATCAAGGTCCCCAGTGTTGCCGAGGCGAGATTCGCCTCATCACCTTGGCAACGCCGTACACAACAGCCACGCAGCACAACACAATGCTGCCAGGTAAACTTTCGTAACCTGTGTTGTGTGAATGTGTTTCCTTTCTTTGCTTTACTACTGCATTCTTCTTCTTGCAGTCTTTGTTTTTTTTTTTTCATTTTCAAAATTTGGAAACGTGTCCTTTAAAAGATATGGCTGACATTTGTGAATAATATTCTAGATATGTGATATTTAGAAAAGAAAAGCCAAGCTTGCTATTTTTAAAAAGCATCTGTGTAGTATGACATGTGAGTCTTCTTTGAAATAACAAAAATATAATCCGTTAAACGACAGGAACTGGGCCCAGAATAGTACCCTGTGGCACTCCACTAGTGTCTTAAGCAGGAGACTGGATTCAACGTGCTTCAGAGCACGATGAATCCAGTCTCCTGTTTTCAACTCTGCAATTACAAAGACATCCAGAAAGAAAAGACTTTCACAAAGGTCGTGCAAAAACACTTCATTTAGTGATGAATCTGACAAATTAATTCAGTGTCTTCACTGTCTGTGCTGTTGCAGTCCCAGTCTGCGGAGTTGTGTGGGAGGCTTTATGTAATAGTTCTAGCTGTCTAACCTTGTTGTCTCTACTTCTATAGTTGTGTGTAAATGTGTGTCTCTCTTTATTTCCAAACGACAAACCTTTTCATGGAGTGCCATCTCTCTTCCTTCCTCTTTACCCTGCAGAGCTGTTTTTAACATCTAAAACTCTTAGCTTTCTGTAATTTCAAGTGTTTAGCGATTTTGCACTGCTCATTAAGAACTTTAACTATAATCCGATTCCATGTCAGTAATAATTAGCAAATTTAGAAAGTTAAATTAGCTGTGCTCTATTTATAACATTTTAATTTGCTGTTTAAAAGTTTCTGTATCTACGATAGTTTACCTGACTCTCTTGACTCTGTTGCCTCTGCAGTGCAGCGGAGCCTCGGCTGCTGTGGGAACGAGTGGAGAAACTGGTTCCCAGAACGACCAGTAATACTGGCAGCGGAGGCTCCAGTTCCTCTAGCAGCTCCAGTAACTCCAGCTCTCAGCCCGGTTCTCACTGTGGCTCAGGAGAGAGGTTCAGGGCCCGCTGTGAGTTCACACATACGTTAACCAAGTCAGCAATTAGAAACATGCAGGAGGTCGACAATATAACTAGTTAAACGTGTAGATTTTATTCCAACATTTTCCAACATGCTGACCTTATCACCTCCACCTCCTTTAGCCTCTTCTAAATCGGAGGGTTCACCCCTCCAGCGGCCAGAGAATGCTGGGAAAAAACCAGAGGAGAGGAGGGACGTGCTCAGGCCGAACAGATCAGCGGTGAGAGTGGACCCGGAGCTGACTAGCCAGTAGCTCACTAGGCAGGATGGGTTTAGTTAAACTCTGTGTGCGTGGTGACTGTTACATGTGTTGCGTCCAGTTAGTTGCTGTTAGATAGATGGAGCGTGTGATTATTAACAAATTGTGACAGGGATCTTGCTGCTTGAGTGTTTTTTGTGTGTGGGTATATGAATGAAAATAAACTGACTGGTCTGCTCAGGCTAAGAAATGCTTGTTTTATCTTTGGATTGAGCTTATTGGCTGAAGGGGTCTACTGCACGTATTATTCGCATTCTCTTCTCAGCGGTCTCTTCCTCAGCGGTGGTCTTTTTAACTCATGACTTCTCTTAACTTAATAAATTAACCATTTTTTCTGAGCTGGTTTAATTTTTCATCTTTGCAGCTCTAACAACTGTTTCATTATTAGAATTAATCCACTAACCTTACCTGCTGTAGCTTGAGGAGCACCAGCTGTACCGCTCTGGAGTCATCTCTTTTTTCTCTTTTCTCTTTTGGCTTTGCTCTTCCGTTGGTTTCTCATTGGCTGGCGCACATCTATAACCATTCTTCTTCTCCAGCAGCTTTCTCTTTCCTGCGTTTCTTAAGCAAGATTAACAGCAAATCTTACGTAGTGCCCCTAGCTATTTGCATGTAATATGCAGTGATGAAGAACGGACAATGCATCAGCAGAGCAAGAATGACTGAACACATTAAAACACGGTTCACTTTTTATGTCTCTGCTTCTAGGACCTGACGGCTCTGGCCAAAGAACTGCGTGCAGTGGATGATGTTCGCCCCCCAAATAAGGTGACAGATTACCCTTCATCCTCCAGTGAAGAATCGGACACCACTGACGAAGATGACGACGAAGAGGTGGATCAGGAGGCAGGTGAAGAGTCGACCTCTGGCCCGGAGGACTCCAGAGCTGTGTATGTACACAACGTTCCTGCAGGCTTTACACTTTCAGAGCAGAATTCATCGGTTCGGGTTAATGGATGAGATTATGCTCCTGCTTAGCAGAGATGCATTTTGATTTATCTGAAAGCCTTTTTAGGCAAGTTAAGCCAGACTGCAGTCGTCTTGGTAATGCCTGCAGGCTGACAAGACCAGCCCTGTCTAAATAAGGAGGAGCCTTGTGTGCATAAAAGAAAGCAGAAAGTCTGCAAGTCACCAGTCAAATCACATTTTATTTTTTTTAATCAAATGCTGTACTACTATTTAACATTTAAGCTTTGAGTCCAGATACTATCTAAAGCACAAGTACACACTGGAGTAGTTGCACACTCTTAATATCATATCCTCTACAAAGGAAACAACAAATGTATTGGTAAGAAGATCACCTCAGTTTTAACTATATGTATTTAATTTGTGTGCTATACTGGGATATTTATAATTGGAGCTATTTTTTTTTAATTTTGTTACATTTTGTAATATTTTGGATTATTTCATTTCATTTAGTTATTGTTCTTACTGTTCTGGAGCAACTGTGACCACATAATTTCCTCTGGGATTAATAAAGTATTCTGATTCTGATTCTCGAGATGATCAACATGCACTTGCCACAGGACTTAAACTAATGTCACACTTAGTCATATTATGGGTGTAGACAGCACATTCACCTACACCTGTATTACAGCGAGATGTAGAAAGCCTCCTAGAGCACAGTAGAGACTGCTTTGAGCCTATGTGCAGAGGACATTTGGCTAATTTGTTGTCAGGCAAGCTGTTTGTTGGCTCGTTGGGTAAAGTCCGGGGCAACCATCACCTTCGGCTCTGCAGAGTACCTTTGAGTGCCGCATCTGTCTTTTATAAAGCTGCTTTTTCTCATGGCTTGCACGGGTGTGTAAAACCATATTGGAGCCCAAACATGATGTGTTTGTGTTGAACTTCTCCTCCCCTCACCTGCAGTTCTTCTCGGCTGAGTAACGGAGAAACGGAGTCTGTGAAAACCATGATCGTCCACGAAGAGGGCGAGAGTGACGCGGGCACAACGCCATGCAAAGACAGCACGCTGATTGTCAGACAGGTACTGGGAGATCGGAAAAAGAACAACCAATCGTTCACCTCGTACTTTTTAGCTTTCCCTTTATTTGTACATTTTGTTTGTTCATACCCCGACAGTTTATCCATTTTGTTTGTATGTTTCGTTGGTCGTGTTCTTACTTTTTAGCCAGTGGATAGAAACTCAGTGTTAAGAAATGAAGCATAAAAGGCTGACAGAGTTTAATAATGCATACAGATAAGTGTTGAACAATTTCAGACATTTAACTTTTAAAAAGCCATTTGATCAGGTGACAGAAAAAGAATGAGGTACGTAGGTCATCTTCACATACATTTAGGACCAATGCACACTACAAAAGGTCAGTTTAAGTAATTTTGGGGCATTACGAAAGTATTATCTTACCATGTAATCAACTGCTAACAAGAGTTTTCTTTCCGCCTGTAGAATAGCCGCTCTAGTATACCCTTTGTTCTAGCTAATACCTTCCCTTCCCCTGAACTCATCAGGAGCACATCTAGACCCAAAGCTGTGTACCCCTCTTTCTACTTCCAGAGTGCAGGTGACAACAGAAAGCGTACGGGCCCTGGCCCAGGCCAAACGCAGACACCTGGCATGCATGCAGGCTTTGCCCCGAGCCCCGGCTCGGTGTCGCTCCAGGGCCTCGCTCACCACACCCCCAGCCCCCACCACCACCATCATCATCACCATCATCACCCCATACAGCATTCGGACAGGAATGGCTTTGCTGGTCGCATCCACCATCTCCCAGACTTGATCCAGCAGAGCCACCATTCCTCCCCCTCCTCCTCTGCATCCAACTCCCCTTCCTCTTCCAGCCTTGCCAGTCCCTCGTCCATGTCCCCACAGAGTCCCTTGGACAAGCTTGGCATCCTCACAGAGGTATGTCTTCAAGTCCCAACGCAGACACTGGCTTAGGGTATTCATTTCTTGCACAGGAGTGTCAAAGGGAGCTTTTATAATTATTGCCATCTATAACACTGTAACTCCCCAAAACAACTAAAATCGTTTAAATAAATAAGATGAGTGCTCGTTTTTTGTTTGTTTGTTTGTTTTTTCAGTCTTTCAGATTTTGACACACCATCTCTCTACAGAGAGATGCTGGTGTTGGTGGAAGCTTGCATTTTTGTGAATATCTCCTTGATATATTTATTATCGCAACAGATCTGTTAGCTCAGTTTTTGGGTTTTTTTTGTTTTTGTTTTTGCCAGAGTTGTCTTTTGTCTTAAAAGCATTCCTCAAAACATTTAAATCAATTTGTATGCCTTGATGTTGCCTATTTTCAGCAAACAAGCTATATTCTCACATTCTCCAGACAATAGATGGTAGCACACATGGCAGTTAGGAGTGAAACCGCAAGTATGTTTTCCAAGGAAATACTTTTTAAACGGCATTTTTTTCCCCTTTTGTGTTGTTATTGTTTTTTATTTGTTTTGTCAGCAGTATTCATATTTTTTTTAGCCTTCATCATCCTTTTTGCCTGTTTCACTGTTTATAAGTTTACCTCCTGAATGACTGCCCACTGTATTTGCATGCAACACATACCAAAATCCTCAGTTTGCCTGGCTGTGTTTTCACTGTGTTGTTAAGTGTTTCCATTTATCTTTGTCCGTAATATCTGCATATGTTTATGGTCTTTGAAAAACAACACTTAAACATTTATAAAACTCCTTCTTTGCAGAGCCAGTCTAGTAACAACATGCAGAAGCACAAGTCTTCTTCCTCCTTCACTCCGTTCATTGACCCACGACTTCTCCAGGTCTCTCCATCCACCGGCAGTGCCCTCAACAATGTCGGTAAGGTCACTTTGTCAACTTAGGTTAAATTAACACATCCGTGAGAGATGACACGGGGATAAAGGTCACAATAAAGGTCTGCAGGCTCCAAAGTCAAAGAATTATTTCTTAAGCCCACTGAGAAGAGCCTAACTAGATGTTTTACCGCAGGCATAAGACAAAACCAAAAAGCATTTCTGGTTGTTGAATCAAACTTTGAACAAACTATGAGGAAAAGTTGTCACTCTGGAAAAGCTGAAACACAATGACTTCAATTCTGACACAAGCCAACTTTTTACTCACAACTCAAAGTCACTGAATTGGAATAGAAGCTGCAGTTCTGAGGTTTGACTGTTGTTCAGGAGGGAACGGCCCTTCTGAGTACATCCAAAGAGAAATCCCAGAGTGCTTCCCTGACTGAGCTGCACCACTGATCTCATGCTCACATGTGGAGTTCAGGTGTCTCAAAATATGATAGCAAAAATTCCTTAGCTGTACAGATTGGGACTTGAGTCTGTGAGCTTTCAAACAGTTGACTCATATGATGACTGACGGCTGGTTTTCTTTACTTTTCTGACAGTTTACAAATGTTTGGGACATTTTAGTCATTCGGATGAATTTTGGTAAACTATTACTACAGTTGTTAAACAACTGAATCAAGGTAATAATGAAAAAAATATAATATTAGTTTAGTGAAATTCATCCAAAACACTAAATATGAAAGAGAGACAGGTCATGTTGAGCAGTTTGGAGGCAAGGCTGAGATGTTTGGAGATATGTAGAGGAGGGAGAGTGGATGTATCGGAGAAATGATGCATCTGCCAGCAGGGGAGAAAATCAGAGAGAAAGATGTGGTGAAGAACATGCAGAAGGTTGGTGTGACAGAGGATGATGAAAGGGACAGGGTGAGATGATGAGCAGATGATCTGCTTTAATGGGAGCAACTGGAAAAAGAAGGAGGACTGAAAGAGGATAAAAAACTACTAATGAACAGCTTTGCAAAATCGACTTTGCCTAGAGGTGAGGTCTTTGAGGCAGTAGGTATGTGATTGACCATAATCAACTATAATCAACACTAAAGAGATTAATACATGGAGATCGGATTCAGAAATTAAGGCTTGGTCTTTCCCTGGATGCTGAATAAGCATTTGGCCAGGTGAGCGGCAGTATGAACATATAAATGGTTGCAATGGGAATTAATTAATATTATATCTTCTTGATGACTGGGTCTCAGACTTTTTCTCATATTTCCTCCTCCAAAAGTCATAAAAGAGGTTCATACTGTCCAACACACTTCTTTCAGTAATCATAAATGAAACAAAGAGATCTTACTTGAACTTTAGTGTGCTAAAAATCATTGTTAGGAAGCTTTTGGTTGTTTATCTTTGTTGATTTAATTGATGATTCTTCCCCAAGCCACCCCCAGTGATGGCTCTCTGAAAACCGTTCCTCTAGGTTAAACCCAGCGCTTCAGTTTTGACTTGCGTCTGACTAGCCGCCAGCGTCCACAGCTGCAAACTTGCACTCAGATACACAGAAGCTCTGACAAAAACAGCTTCTTCTTTTCAAGGAGTAAAGAGGCTGAGCACGTGAAAATGTCATTATCATTAACAAACAAAAAGAGTTTGTAAGTGTGGACTCTGTTTCACTCAGGTCATAGAGTTCATTAGCTATCGCCATTAGCAAACAAAGCTTTCTTATCACTACAGCCCTGTTCTCTCATCGTCATCGTCAAGGCCAAATCTTAAGCCATGACCTCACCTGATGCAGCTGGTGACCAGCCATTGACCCCCTTAAGTATACTAGATTGTTCAGTCAGCATTTAATCACTGATTTGAGGCAGTTAGGTTTTCCTACAGATGCCTGAATATAGAACCAAATGCATGTAAGAGAGCCGGGTAATGAGTAATCCACAACAGACACCATAAAAACTCTGCAGAGGCCTTCTGACCTTGCACAGCTTGTTTTTCTGTCCCAGTGTAATCAGCAGCTGAGGACTATTCTGTTATTCTAATAATCTCACAGTCTCTGATGGATGGTTGTCTTTGAACGTCACATCAGCTCTCTTTTTTACTGGTTTGAGCGGAGCAGTAGTGGGAGTCATTACATTGATATTTATATTTCTGTATACCATCCCAAACTTTCATGCTTACAACATGACCAGTTATTCACAGTAATATAAAATGTACATCAATCACACAATATTGATATTCCGTTCTTAAATATCACAGTTCACTACACAGCTTTCTAATGCTGATCATGTGACTGACCCTCACCCCGTCCGGTAAACTCTACAATCCTACGCCATCCTACCTAAGCCCTTCCCTTTGACCTTTTAGGCTATGGGAATGATGCCCGGCTGGCAGAGGCACTGAGAGCAGATCCATCCCGGAAGGGCTCCGTGGTCAACGTCAATCCGGTCAACACCCGCCCTCAGAGTGACACCCCCGAGATCCGCAAATACAAGAAGAGGTTCAACTCTGAGATTCTTTGTGCTGCGCTCTGGGGTAAGAACAAAAAGATAGGGCTTAAAAGAAAGGATACTTTAAAATAATTACCCATCAGTTGATCAGACTATGATGTCACCTTGAATAACAGGGTGGGGGTGGGGGGATAATGGGTACTTAAAGAAAATGCTACTTATTTAATAAGGATTTTTTTGATGTAAATTATTATTAAAGGTAAATTTGTTGTGCCAATGTTTAAGTATTTGTATTAACATTCGTCAAAGTCCAGCTTTTTACCAGAAGTTGTAGTTATAAAGGCCTTCACCACATGGTGGCAGCAAAGCTCTAATAAGGCCACATACTAGCGCCGTCAGGCCAAGCAGCAGACTTCCAGTTGAGGTCAGTGGCTTTTTTTGGACGTTATCCTTATGGGCATGTTTGTGCATTTGTGTGTAGGAGTGAACTTACTGGTGGGAACAGAAAGCGGCCTGATGCTGTTGGATCGCAGTGGTCAGGGGAAAGTTTACCCTCTGATTAACCGCCGACGCTTCCAGCAGATGGACGTCCTGGAAGGACTCAATGTCTTGGTCACTATATCAGGTACACAGACAGGCACACTTTAAGCACCCTGATTAGTGCAACTAGAGTTAGGAACCGATGAGAGATGGACTGAAACCAACGTCTAACATTGTGCAGTATAAAGCACAAACTTGCACACAGAGTTACCTTGAAAGTACAGTGCTCGACAAACACCTTGAGCCACCCCTCATTATATTTTGCTAGGAAAGTTGGAAATAGGTATAATGATAAAAGATGTGAAAACAAAGTATATATGTTTTCAAGTAGCCTCAGAAATGAGTATTTAATCTGACCACCTATTAGAATAGAATAGAATAGAAT